TATATTTGCTAATTACTTTTCTGACAGAGGATTAATATCTAGAATATATAAAGAACTCAAAAAACTTAACAAAAAAATTAATATCACTAAACAAATGAACTAAGACAAACTTCTCAATAGAAAAAATACAAATGACCAACAAATACATGAACAAAAGTGTTCAACATCATTAGCAATTAGGGAAATGTAAATCAAAACTACCCTGAGATTTCATCTCCAGTTAGGATGGCAGTCATCAAGAACACAAACAATAACAAATGCTGGAGAAGTTGTGGAGAAAGAGGAACATTTTTACTCTGTTGGTACGATTGTAAATTAGTACAGGCCATTATGAAAATCAGTATGAAGCTTCCCAAAGGCTAGAAATGGAACCACCATATGACCCAGTTATATTCCTTGACATTTATCCTAAAGAATTAAAGTCATCATACTATAGCAATATATGCATACCCATGTTTATAACAGCACAATTCACAATAGCCAAACTATGGAACCAGCCTAGGCGTTTTATCAATAGATGGATAAAGACAATGTGGTATACGTACACAACGGAATTTTATTCAGCCATAAAGAAAAATGAAATTATGTCATTTGCAGGAAAATGAATGGAACTTGAGACATGATGTTAAGTGGAATAAGCCAAACTCAGAAAGTCAAGGGTTGTATGGTCTCTCATGTGTGGAAGCTAGGGAGGAAAACAAGAAAAGAAAGTATGTGGGGGGCGTGAATCTCATGAAAATCAAAGGAAGATCAGTAGAGTTAAGGGACCAGGCGGAGGGAAGAAGTGAGAGAAAGGGAAATACTGGGGAATAATATTGGCTAAATTATAGTATTATATTGTGTACATGTACAAATATGTAACAAATCTCACCATTATGTACAACTACAACATATCGATTTAAAAATATGGGAGGCCAGGCATGGTGGCACACACCTGTAATYTCAGTGACTTGGGAGGCTGAAGTAGGAGGACTGAAGGTTCAAAAATCAGCCTCAGCAACTTAGGGAGGCCCTAAGCAATTTAGAGAGACCCTATCTCAAAATAAAAAGGGCTAGGGATGTGGCTCAGTAGTGAAGCACCCCTAGGTTTAATCCCTAGTACTTACTAAATAAATAAACAATTCATTGCACTGCTCACCACTAGTAAACAAGAAGAAAAAAAAATCCTCTAGCAAACACAACATCAGGGTCTTTCTTCTGGCACACAACTGAATTCTGTAAGATCTGAGTTTCAGTTTTCACTATCTTCCAAGAGATTCTCAGATCTAAATCTACCATATCTCCAATTTCAGTGATCCATTTTTAATTTCATTAAAATTAAATTCATTCATTCAATTCTATAGCTATCCTTTGGTATGCTAAAAGTATTTTCTTTTACCCCTTTTCCAATGCCCTTTGCAAACCATTACTCTTCTACCTGCCAATAAAAACCTCTTTTCCTTTGCCACCTTGCTGCACTATACTTCAGCTTTCAGCATAGCTGTCATCTCCAACTTACTCATCATTCCTCCTACTTTATAGGTGGCTTTGACATCTGGCTTTTAAAGTTTCCCCTCATCTCAAGCCCTATCTCTTTTTTTTTTTTTAAAGGCAATTTATTTACAAAATTTCTTACTTGACCAGGAGTGAGAGCCAAGAATCAATATATCAACAATACACAAAAACCTCACCAATAGTCTTTAAGTCAATTTATACAAGGCAACAACAAAAGTAGCTCTTGACTACTGGGCTAGAAAGATGTCCTTCTGAGAATCCTTCAATTTCACAAGAACATACATTTAACCAAAGGGGTCTATGCAAGTAGCACTGTGATACTTACAGGCTCAGCTGAGTGGCAGCCTTTAGAGTGCTGTTCCCTGTCTACCTTACACAGATGTCAAGCCCTATCTCAGGAGTAAAAGGGTTAAAAGGACAGACTCTGGATAGTATCAGATTGCCCAGGTTCAAGTCTTGGTTCCACCATATGCCAGTTGAGTTGCCTTGCTATGTTCCTTAACCTTTCTTTTCCTGAGCTTCCTCATTCATAAAATAGGAATAATAATAATAATAGCAATATTATTTGTTATTTGTGTTAAGAGTTAATACATTGCACTGCTCACCACTAGTAAACAAGAAGAAAAAAAATTCTCCAGCAAACACAACATCAGGGTCTGGGTGTGGTGGTGCACCTCTATAATCCCACCTACTTGGGAGGTTGATGCAGGAGGATCACAAGTTCAAGGCCAGGCTTAGCAAATTGGCAAGATTCTGCCTCAATAATAAGACCCTGCTGGGAATGTAGCTCAGTAGCAGAATGGCCCTGGGTTCAAACCCCACTACCACCCAAAGGAAAAAAAAAAAGAGTTAACACATGTAAATGGCATCTGGCACACAATAAGTGCTTAGTAAACATTAGCTGTTACAGCTATCATCAACACCATCATCATTTTTAAAGACCATCTCAATATCCTCATGGATAACTAATTTAACATGTTCTTGAGCTTCTGGACTTCTTTGAGCTCCTTGTTTCCACTCCACTCTATCTCAGAAGAGGCTTATCTCAGCAATCCTCTTCCATAGTGGTACCTCAGATCCTTTCATCAGCAGAACTTCTCCACCCCAAAATCTTCAATTCAAAAAAGCACAAACTCAAGCCAGGTGTGGTGGCGCAGGCCTATAATCCCGGTGGCTCAGGAGGCTGAGACAGGAGGATCATGAGTTTAAAGCCAGCCTCAGCAAAAGCGAGGTGCTAAGCAACTCAGTGAGACCCTAATCTCTAAAAAAAATACAAAATAGGGCTGGAATGTGACTCAGTTGTCAAGTGCCCCTGAGTTCAATCCCCAGTACCAAAAAAAAAAAAAAAAAAAAGCCCATATTCTGACCTACCAGCTGTCCTACCAAGACTCACATTTACCAGTTCCTCTACATCCTCTTCCCAGCATGTAAATCTCTAAATGCCAAACTTCCCTATTTTTACCTCTATCAGTCCCCTCCTATCTTTGCCTCTTTCCATATTTTCTTATTCTCTCTCTCCCATTCACTCTTTTGACAACAACCTTAATTTCCATGCTCCAATTTCTTTCCACACAAATCACCTAGCAAATTTCCTATTTTGAATAAGTTAAACTCAGTCTTTTCTTGATAGGGTTGCTGAGAGTTATTGAGGAGACTCACACAACTGTAAAGATCAGTGCCACTATCATAAATGCATGATTTCCATCTTCAAGACTACCCAAAATCTTCCTTTTTCCTTATCTAGTATGCCATCTTCTATCCTTCACAATGGCTATTTCACACCTTAGTCTATTAGATTTCTGCTAAACGCTCATATAATCCACATCAAGTATACATTATTATTTAACTATTAAAAACATAACATCTGAGGGGCTACTGCTGTTCAATGTTAGAGCACTTGCCTAGCATGTGTGAGGCACTGGGTTTGATCCTCAGCACCACATAAAAATAAATAAATAAAACAAAGGTATTGTGTCCAACTACAACTAAAAAAACTAAAATAATAATAATAATAATAATAATGTCTGACTTCCTTGTCCCAGAGTTCTGCTGGGACAGTAATCAAATATTCTTTATTTACTATAATATTCTTAGCACCCAGCTCAGCATACTACCCAACACTTGGCAAATGCATAAGAAATAATTGCTGGCTGAGCCTTTACATAGACTGTGGATCTGTACAGAATGCTTTTTACTACTTTAGCCCCCTAGTGCAATCGTATACATCCTTCAAGAAATATTGGTAATCTCTATCAAATCCTACTTGCATATACATACCACCTGCCTGCTCAACTGAATCACTTCCTCTTTGTGTTCTCACTGTATTATATACATAAATAACAATTACTATTAACGTAATAGTTATACACTATCATAAATACCTAGCTTTGAGTCTCAGGCTCCACTAGACTATAAATGACCTGAGGGCATGGACCATGTCTGGTTCACTTCTGTACTTCCAATGCTTAGAAAAGTACCTGACAGTGATAGTAGGTTTCCAAAAATGTCTATGGCTATTAAACCAAAGACTTATWTACTCTACTACTGTACTGAAACAGTTTTTTCCTTACTATAAAACTGAATTCCAATTCTAGTTATGCTAATGATTAGCTGCATGGTCACCAGCAATTGTTCAAACTCACTGGGCCTCAGTTTCCTCACTAGTAAAACAAGGCTAATAATACCTACTTGGAAATATTGCTATGAAAATAAAACAAAATGACATAGTACAACAATTAGCACACACAGTGCCTGGTATATAGTAGCCTCCCCACACTGGCTTCAACTTGATGGAGACAACTAGGACAAAACAAATACAAAAATAAGTCACAGTAATCAAGGGAGACTAAGCATAGAGTGAGTCATTCCTTTTAATCATTTGCCCAGGAAGATCAACAATGAAGAAATATAATAAGCAGAATAAACTTTCCTGGTGGTATGTCCCTTGGCAATATGCAGCTTGGTAAGAATTCACCCCAGAGACAACTTGGCTAATGGCCACATTCAGCTTCCCAATCCGGCAAGTCAGATCTTAGGCTGCAGTACCAGGCATAGTTAATTCAGACTGGAATAAAAACTTATCTCATAAGAAATGTGTTTTACAGGGGAAGATGGAGGAGAACCTAACTACAAATACATCAATCAACTGTTTTGCAATCTGGCAGAAAACACCACAGAAGCATTGTAGAGACTAACACGCACACAATTACTTACCTACAGCCAAGAATCAGATTAGATCAGATAATAAGCAGCTTTCTGCTTTTACCAAAAAAAAAAAACCAAAAAAAACAAAAAAACAACCAATGGTCAGACTTGCATGAAGTGAACATTTCAAAAGTCACATTATCCTTGTACATCTGGGCAATACCAATGAAGATGGCACCTTGTAACTTTACACACATGTTCCTCAGCCTGTGAGCACTGCCCACCACCTCAGCCTCACTACTTGTATGTGGAATGAAACAGCAGATTGAAGTTTCTCTGCTTCTTATTTGTAATATGCTTACCTCTGCCAAGCCACTGGCACTCAGAACACCTAGTTCGTTGGAGTCATTCTCTTTAGAATGCTGTGCTACTATRGGTGGAAGGACTTCTCTGGAAATATCTCTCTTCTGAAGCTTCCTGATTAAGCTCTGTTGGTCACTGGAAAATACAGCAGATCTGAATGGAGCTCTGGATGGGCTCAGTCTCCTCCAAGAGGCCTCCTCCAGAATATGTGGTATATCCTCTTCAGATAGAAAGCCCAAATCATCTGTAGCTTGGAATTTTTTAAAAAATACCAGCATGGAATTAGAAGAGTCTGTCCTAAAAGGCTGGCAGCTCTGGGGCTTGCTGCAGTCAGCCTGAATGCATATCCCTTCTAGCCACCAAAGAGCATGGCAGGCCGAGTCCTGACAGCAGGCAGCCCAACATGAATGGAGAGACGGGGTTCCTTTAAGAAGCCAGAAGTGATTTTCTCTTCCAGTTCTCAGGCCAACTCCAAATTGTGTCTTCCCCTGGTGGCACCTGCTTTCAACAGCATCTAAAAACAAAGAATGAAAACATTTTAGGATGAATCAAAAACAATCTACTACTCCATAAAAAGCTCTGAACTGACCAACATTCAAGGATATTTTGAAGACAGGTTTTTAATAGGGTGAGAAAACTGTCAAGTAAGTGGAAGAGAGGACGTGAAACACAATGTTTTTTGGCTCAGGAGATTTTAGCTTGTAGGAGAACTGTTCCACATTCATCAATGGCCAATGGCTCCCCATCTCAATGAGTTCCTGCCTCATACAGTCTTATGCAGAATTTCAGTTTAAGAAACAGAAAAAAGACGAAAGTTTAAAAAGCACCATTCTCATGGAAATACATGGAACTAGGACTGAGGTTAAAGCTCAGTGGCAGAGCACTTGCCTAGCACATGAGGCACTGGGTTTGATCCTTGGCACTGCATAAAAATAAATAAGTAGGTATTAAAAGAAAGAAATACAGAGACTCCAGGGGACAGAGTCCTAACACTTGACCTCCAAGGTATCCTGCAGGGACAATATTAAGACTATGGGACCAGAACACATGGCTGAACCAGCTAGAACTGGTAGCAACACAAACTAAGTATTCTTGACCTCATTAGATTACGGGTACATATGTTTTCTAACCAATTGTTTGCCATCAAAGTCAAGTGGCTTTGATAGTATGGCATTAGCCAGAGTGGTAGTAAAGATTACCAAAAAATTATGTCATGAAAGAGAGCCTCACATGCACAAGGCCCTGGGTTCAATCCCCAACACCACTCAAAAAAAAAAAAAAAATGTTCTAAAGAAAAGTTGTTATAAGTCAATTTTTAAAAAATATTTTTTAAGTTGTAGTTGGACACAATACCTTTATTTTTGTATTTATTTTTATGTGGTGCTAAGTATAGAACCCTTGGCCTTGCAAATGCTAGGTGAGCGCTCTACTGCTGAGCCACAACCCCAGCCCCTATAAATTAATTTTTTTTTTTAAGAGAGAGTGAGAGAGGAGAGAGAGAGAGAGAGAGAGAGAGAGAGAGAGAGAGAGAATTTTTAATATTTATTTTTTAGTTCTCGGCGGACACAACATCTTTGTTGGTATGTGGTGCTGAGGATCGAACCCGGGCCGCACGCATGCCAGGCGAGCGCGCTACCGCTGAGCCACATCCCCAGCCCATAAATTAATTTTTAAGGTCTGTATTACACAGGTGTTTTTAACCACGTGGTCAGGGTTATAGAGGAACAGAACAAGACTAAGGCAAGAGAGGAGTCCCAGATACAAAACTTAAGATATTCACTCTCAGAGTCACATCAGGGTCGCTTTAAGCATCCTTGACAGGTAAGTACCTCTTTATTTATTTTTATTTAGGTGTAGATGAACACACAGTATCTTTATTTTTATGTAGTGCTGAGGATCGAACCCAGCGCCTCACACATATGAGGCAAGCACTTTAACCACTAAGTTACAGCCTCAGCCCCAGGAAGTATCTCTTTAAACTTCATGCTCTGGGTGCCAAAGCCCATAAACAAAATAAGAACATTCAAACAAAGAAATGATCATCAATTATATTTAGTGTGGCAAATCATGCAAAAATCATTTATTTCTTCTGAACGCTACTCAATAAGTTAAACATTTAACAAAAATATTCTGTGCACCTCTGTCCTGGAAAAATGTTCATTATATTAAGATTTATACTAATATAAAGATTTAACATACGTAAAAATGTTCATTATATTAAAATTTATACTAATGAAATATTTGAAGAACCTAATTGTCTGTCAGTATGGAAATGGTTACTATAGAATACAATTTAGCAATGGAAAAAAATTCTATATACAGCCACAGAGGTATCACCATAATACCTTAAGTTTAAAAAAGTTTCACAAAATCTATATATTATGGTCTTACTTAGACTTTTAAAAATAAAGCATTTTTGTTCATGTAAATATACATATGCATTCAAAAAGGAAAACTAAAAGTTTAAACTTAAATTTWAAAAAATAAAGTTTAAACTTAAATAGAAAAAAAGACATATGCTTCCATCATAAAAACTTGAAAAAAAAAAAATTAAACCCCCAAATAAGAAAAAAGAAATAACAAAGTGTAATCAATGAAATAAAAAGTAAACAAACAAACAAAAAAATGAAGAAACTTAAAATCTGGTTATTTGAAAGATCAATAAAACCCTTGTCAGACATATCATAGGAAATAAAAAAAGAAAGAGAGCCTAGTCATTAACAGTATCAAGAGTGAAAAAAGAATATCATTACAGATTCAATAAACTATGCCTAGGAGCCGACTTGGACTACCTCCTGTTTTTGTAAATAAAGTTTTATTAGAACAGAATCACATTCATTTATTTATGTTGTGTAGGGCAGCTTTTGCTCTAGGTGGTAGAGTAAAGCAGACCATTATTAAGCCCACAAATCCTAAAATACTACCTGGCCCTTTAAGAGAAAGTTTGCCAGCCAGATGAGGTAATGCCTGACTGAACTAGATGTAAACCTATAATCCCAATGTCTCAGGAGGCTGGGAGGAGAATTCAAATTTGAGGCCATCTTCAGCAATTTATCAAGGCCTATCTCAAAATAAAAAAATTAAAAAGGGCTGGGGGTTTAGCTCATTGATAAAGCACCCCTGGAGTTCAATCCTAAGCACCAAAAAAAAAAAAGTTTGCTAAACTCTTGTCTAAGAAAATGTAGCTTTGTGGCTGAATGTTTTCTCTGATATGAGGATGCGAAGTCACAATAAGAGGGGTGGGGGTTGATCAGGGAAGAACAGAGATACTTCAGATTAGACAGAGGGAGTGAAGAAAGGGGAGTGGGTATGGGGGTAGGAATGATAGTAGAATGAGTTACACAACCTGTGTAACTACATCATGTACAACCAGAATGAGAATTTATACTCCATTTATGTATGATATGTCTAAAGGCATTCTACTGTCATGTATAACTATTTAGAACAAATAAAAACTAAGTAAGTAAATTAAAAAAATTTTTAAAAAAGAAAAAGTACCTTTGTTTGACTTACTCTTTACTACTGAAAAGAACCTAAATATAGATGTTAACTTACAGAATACTGATAAGCTATAAATGATTTTAATTTTTTTTTTTTTTTKCAGGAAGCAGGGACTGGGGCTTGAACCCAGGACACTTTACCACTGAGCTATATCCCCAGCCCTTTTTATTTTTAATTTTGAGACAGGGTCTAAGTTGCTTAGAGCCTTGCTAAATTGCTGAGGCTGGCCTTGAACTTGCAATCTTCCTTTCAGCCTCTGGAATGCTGGGATTTCAGGCATGTGCTACCACACCTGGCTGACTTTGATTCTATTAAGAGATATAATAGAGGGGCTGGGGATGTGGCTCAAGTGGTAGCGCGCTCGCCTGGCATGSGTGCGGCCCGGGTTCGATCCTCAGCACCACATACAAAGATGTTGTGTYCGCCGAGAACTAAAAAATAAATATTAAAATTCTCTCTCTAAAAAAAAAAAAAAAAGAGATATAATAGAAAAAGTTTAGGTTTATTGTCTTAACAAAACTATTAATGCTTCTTACCTAACTTAYAAACTTATTTCATCATGATCACATAAATCTGTTTTCCTCAAAAGTTTTACTACTTATACCCTCATTCTTGAGTTAAATAAGCCTCAGATACATATGCTCCTTATATTTTTGAGAGCAATGTCTTCAACTTCTTGAAATTTATATTTATATACAAACACCCAAGATGTTCACATTCACTTAGGCTACAAACCTAAGTGGTTTCAGGAACAGAGGAGGATTTTTTAGAAAGATATTAAGTTCAACCCATCTGGGGCTAAAATCCTTTCTAAAACAACTCCAGGTATTTTCAAGCCTTTGTAATTGCCCTCTACAATTCTGAACTCATTAATAAGGCAGCCATTCTACCTTTGCATATTCTATGATAACAGCTCTTTCTAGGAGAAAAATTAAGTAAATTATAACATACATACATATATATATATATATACACACACACACACGACACACACACACACACACCAATATATATGTTAAAAAGGGTCATTATAAAGACCATATTGCAAGATGAAAAACTATAACAACATAATCTTGAGAGTAAAAAGCTAAATATAAAAGTGCACACAAATTCCCTGAGGAAATGATAAGTAGCCTGGCACTTACGGGATAAGAAGGAAATAAAACAAAGGAGATAGGGAAGTGAAAATCCAAATAAACAAGCAAAGGCTCAAGGCTTAGAAAGAACATGTCAAGAGTTAAAAGTGATGTGGTATGGTGAAATATAGTTTTTTTCATATTTAATTTCATTCATGCCATGGCTTCAATTAYTACATACTCTGCAGTGCTCTCAAATATGGATTCCTACTTCTAACCCAGAGTGCACCTCTACTGTCTATCAGTAACAATACAACACATGATTCCTCTTTATCTGCCTGTTATATATAAAAAAAAAAAAAAGAAAGTAAAAGGAAAACCATTTCAACAGAGTAGACCTTGACTGTGTGGTCCTGAACCTAAAGCAGAGGGCTTAACAGTCTGTGAGCCAGACCTCTCTCCCCAACCTATTTCTTGTGGCACTTCAGTCCTAAATCTGTGTGTTCAAGCCATATGGGCCTTCTTTCCATTTCTGAAAAGGACTTTGCTCTCTCCTCTCATAGGGTAACTAAAACTATGAGCATAGATGAGATTGTTCGGGAAGAGGAGGAGAGGAGATATTAAGGACACATCTTCATCTCCCTCCTTATACAGCTCAGATTCTACAGTCCATTACTGCAGACTCTTGAGGACTAATAGCTTCTTTACCCCAGCTGCCATCCACAGCAATCAGGGATGAATTTGTTTTGAAAAAACAGGAGAGGAGGGCTGGGGTTGTGGTTCAGTTGTAGGGCACTCACCTAGCATGGGAGAGGCACTGGGTTCGGTCCTCAACACCACATAAAGATAAATAAATAAAGGTACCGTGTCCATCTACAACCCAAACATTAAAAAAAAAAAAAAAAAAAACAGGAGGGGGGGGGAATCACCCAACTGC